TTCAATTTTCAAAAGGCAAAAATCTTGAAATAAAAAAACCGTTGAGAATATATAGTGTAATAGTGAAAATAGTATCATAGCGGACTTTTTGTAAACCATGACCCCCATCACATCCTTGTTCCGGCTTGACGTCGACTTAATAGACACCTGTATAATATAGTAATATGTCTAATTTGATGGAATAATTATTTTGCAGAAAATTTTATTAAAAGTTTATTCATGTGCAAATTTCATCAAATACAGATAAAGCAATACTTATTATATTTTTCACAATAATTGACTTATAAAATAATAAGTAAGTAAAATATGACATATAACAAAACAAAATATTACAATAACATTAGCTACAATTTACTTCACAGAAATAATAATTGCACATCCTAAACCTGTTATTTAATGAAAATAAATTAACTATGGACCTATGATTTAAAATTAACACTTAAACTTCTAGTCTTTTGAAGTAAATAGTAACAATTAACTGGCACTCCTAAGCATGTTCAGTTCGACTGTTTAGTCTTATGTTTATCAAATGTGGTAGAAAATATTGTTATCAGTCTATTTGTGGACTAATAACCCCAGGGGTTAGGAACAGTTATTAGACGGACAGAGACACGAAACTGTTATACTGCGCAATGTTACGTTTTAGGATGTCAGCACAGAGACCCAGCACTCTCTCAAACCTGCAATTTAAATAATTATATTAAATTGAGAATAATATTCAAAAAGTTGTAATCTGGATCTAGCCATACTAATATGGTGTGGTATGTGTTATGAATTTGTTTATTAGATGGCAAACAAAGACAAAAGGACAATGGCAAACTCCAATATAAATTTTTGTTGACATAATTTGTATATTACTTTTGTATATTTGTTGTATATTACTAAACAAAGAGCTCTCTACCATCAAGACTGATATCCATCAAGCATGATGATTTTAAACTCACTATTGATACATTAGTCAAAGATAATACCCAACTAAAAGGTGCTAACCAGCTCCTCCAGTGCACAGTTCACGGTCTGGAAAATAGATTAAATAACCTCGAACAGTACCTGAGAGAAAATACCTTAGAGTTACATGGTGTCCCTGAATTTCGTTCGGAAAATTTAACAAATGTGTTACAACAATGCTCGCAATTTATTGGACACCAATTGAATGACGGCGACATAGTTGGCTGTGTGAGAGTTGCCAAGCTAAACAAAGATAGCAAGTTTCCGAAGACAATAGTGGCCAAATTTAGGAGTGTTCGTTGCCGCGACGAATTCTACTCAGCTGTGTACTAGATTAAATAACCTCGAACAGTATCTGAGAGAAAATTAGAAGTAACATTTGTCGATAAAAGCTCACTACTAGAGATTACTAGGTCAGTATGCAGTAAACTATGCTTTTATAAAACTAATATCGCGAGTTGCATGGATGAGCTATCATCAATTGATTGGGATCGTTTAGCATTAACTGATGAATGTAATTGTGATGAATTTGTGCATACATTTTATAACATTATCTATGAGATTATTGAAAAGCATACACCTAGAACCAAGACACGTAAGAAGGGGTACCCAGTTTGGTTTACAAAAAATCTGATTGGGTTGATTCAAAACAAACATAAATACCACCATCGTTTCTAACAGCATGGTAATCCCCGTGACTACGACACCTTTTCAATGCTGAGAACGAGGGTGAAAATTGTACTGGAGAAATGTTTGAGGGATTATTATATTGATCGTATTGAGACTAATTTATCAGTAAATATTAAAGCTTTCTGGCGTTACACCAAATGTAAAAGGGTAACAAACATGTACCCAAAGCGAATGCGATATAATGACCGCGAGTCTGATAGTGGTGGTGACATAGTGGGCTTCTTTGCTGATTACTTCTCATCAGTTTATGGGGCCCAAAATAATTCGACATATACCCCTGAATTTTCTCCGTCTAATTTGTCAACATTTAAGCTTTCATTGTCATCTGAGCTCGTCATGAATAAACTTAGGAGTATTGATATCTCAAAAAGCGCCGGTCCGGATAGCTTTCCACCGGTTTTTATTCGTCTTTGTGCTTCGGCTCTCGTGAAACAATTAACTATTATTTATAATATGTGCTTATCTAGTGGCGTGTTTCCTTCACTGTGGAAGATCACAAGGATTACACCTATTTATAAGTCTGGTGATAGAGCCAATGTCACTAATTATAGGCCTATTAGTATTCTGAGTTGGTTTGCTAAAATATTTGAGAGCTTAGTATACATTCATCTTTATAAACACCTTAAGCATCTGCTCAGTTCGAATCAACACGGGTTTATTTCTGGCCGCTCAACTACTTCAAATTTACTTGCTTACATGACTTACCTCTGCGATGCATTTAATGATAGGTGTCAGGTTGACGTGGTTTATTTGGATTTCTCAAAAGCATTCGACCATGTTAATCATACAATTTTGCTTTCTAAGTTATATCACCTTGGTATTCACGGTAATCTCCACCGCTGGCTCTCGTCTTATCTTATGAACCGTTCCCAACTGGTGGCCCTGAGTGGATTTGAGTCTGTTCCATTCGTTGCGATGTCTGGTGTGCCTCAAGGATCAAATCTTGGTCCTTTACTATTCATAGCTTTCATTAATGACCTTTTGAACACGATTAAGAGTGATTGTCTTGCATATGCTGACGACATCAAGATTTTCTGTCGAGTTGATTCCTTGAAGGATTGTTTGGCTCTTCAAATAGATCTTGACACGATAACAAAGTGGTGCAACAACAACTGTATGATTCTCAATACTAAAAAGTGTCAGGTAATCACTTTCACCAAAAATAAGAAGCCATTGTTAAGGACTTGGGTGTCATGTTTGATACAGTCCTGTCGTTTAGGTCCCATTACGACTACATGTGCAATAAAGCACATAGGTCGTTATCCTTTATCCTCCGTAACACTAAACCATTCCGAAATTCAGCCTCATTAATATTATTGTATAATTGTTTGGTAAGAAGTATTTTGGAATACTGCGCGCCCGTTTGGTGTCCTATATACAATGTCCACATTGAAAGAATTGAGTCTGTTCAACGACGATTCTTGAGATGTCTTAGTGCAAAGTTTGGACTGCGACGTAAGCTGCCGAATTACAGTGATCGCTTGTGCAAATTTGGCATGATCAGTCTTGAGGATCGTAGGCAAGTGTCAGACTTATGTATTTTGCACAAAATTGTTAATTCTGCCATGGATTCTCAGTTGATCGAACACCTGTGTTTTAGGGTACCTACTCGTTCTATACGTACTCCGCAGTTGTTTAGTGTACCTCTTACAAAAAATAATGTTTCACAGAATGGACCATTGTGCAGAATGTGTCGATCATATAATAGCATATGTTCCCACCATGACATTTTTTTCTGTACTTTTGAATGCTTCAAAACAACACTGTTTACTAGTATTGGCAAAAAATAACTTAAACTTAAACTTTTAACGTCTGTCCTTTTATATTGTAATTTATTATAATATAAATGTTGTGTACAATTATAATTGGATGTCAGATTTATAATGTTATATATATGTAATAGTTCTAGTATTATTTGTAGTCGGTTATCTGTTGTTGTACCATATAATGAAAATAAAATAAAATAAAATATTGTATGTAAATATGTGAAAATATAGAGTTGAAATTCCTGAACAACTTCTGTTTTGGGTTTACTATTCTGCGAAGACAGGAATTAGAGATTCAGATTCAGTTTGAAGTTTTGGAGGTTATGTGTTACATAGGTAATAGAATAAAATATATTCGATATATATAATATTAAAATAATCTACAGAAGCCTTAAACAGAGTTGAGAGAGAAAGAATAGAAGCCGAAAAATAATAATAACATACCACCAACTATCGCACTAGTAACTCAGACACGAATTATTTTTTTGTGAGACGTGTCGTCTATCCCTGATTTTGGGAACTTTTTAGTCAGTTTTATCATTTTGTCGCGTGACATTTTGGAGAAGAAATTATCGACTTTATTTTATTGTAATGAAGTAGTTAATCTTTTATTAGCTTATTACAAATGGGTCGAATCAGTATATTTGATATTACGTGAACTAAATGTGGACTATATCCATAAGTAAGTACTGAAATTCCTTTTTTGGTGGCTAGATGTCGCTCAACGTAAAGAAACTGATAGTTGTGGATATATAAATAATGGTTTGTTTCTTCAAATAAACTAACGTATCGGACCCTTTACAGGTCTCATGGTCACGGTTGACTGAGGTGGTACAGTCATGAATGACAAATATACGCGATTTAAATCCGGAAAAATAGTTTCATTTCCTATATGTAACAACCGCGAAAACCTAACAATTCGATAGTCATTATAATTTCTGTTATATATGATTTTATTTCCAGATTTAGATGGGCCGCTATTATAATTTGAAAAATGTAATGAATTTATTTTATTAATATTTGTAAGTAAGACATTTAAAGACGCTAACGATTCTTTTAACTATGATTTTGCCATTGTTCTTTGTAATACAGATAAAAATGTACAAATGAAAATAATAATTTCGGAGGTACCTAGCACGATCAAGCTTGACACATTTAAGCGGGCCAGCGGCGCGTACAGTTGCAGCGCGTGGGCGATCCAACAATAGCGCGATTTCGCCGAAGTAATCCGAGGGGCCCAGGCGCCCCACCTCTACTGCCGCACCTTCTGCCTGTCCGCTACGTTGCTGCAGAACTACTGCTGTGCCTGTTGCAAGACATATTTTTGTACCTTTTTTTTATATATGTATACGACTCGAACGACATGGTCCTGCTGAGCCAACAGCCAGATCGCTTGAGGTAGTCTCGCATACGTATGAGTACATCAAATCAGGTGGATTGACGTATAATGCCAAAAAAGGCGTGTTGGTCTTTGGTCTGCGGTCGGGCGCAAACTATCGAGCTATGTTCCACTTTTAAGGTAAACAATGTTGAACTTCAGCGGGTCTATCAATATAAGTACCTAGACCATTTTGTCACCGACAATGTCAGGGACCACATGGATATTGAGAGGGAATGTAGGGCGATGGTGGTCAGATGTAAAATGGTGGTACGAAGGTTTGCGCGCAGTAAAAATCCTGCTTTTTAAAGCATACTGTCAAGTTTTCTACACGTGCAGCTTTTGGACCGACTATTCGCTTAAAACCATCCACCAACCAGCACCCTTTAAGTGCAATACAACAAAGCAAAGGTTTTCGAATGTTGTTGGGGCTGCCATGTTTCTGCAGTGCGTCAGGCATGTTTGCGCTGGCACATACAGATGTCTTTTATGCCAGTATGCGTAAAAAGTCAGCCTCATTGCTCTGCAAGTTGCGTGCCAGCTCCAACCCTATATTGGAAACCAATGTCAGTAGATGTAATTCGCCTTCTATGCAGCAACTTTTTTCGCCTCGGGTATGAAGCATAATTTATATTTCAACAGTATTTTTATTTTTATTTTTTTAAATTTTTACTGACATGGTTTTTGAGAATCACATTCTTTACTGGACTGTTGTCTGATAAATATAACTTATTATTATCATTGGTTGATTTTAAAGATACATTGGTTGGCTTGATATAGCAAAGTAGTAGTTTTTTTTTAAACACTCATTACACACATAACACTTACTAGGGAAACTCTGTATCGCGAGTGCCATGGACACACACACAGGCAGACAACCACAAATTACGCCCAAACTCACGAGAGAAATAAATGTAGGCCATACAAATATTTCTCCCGGCCTGGGAACCCAACCCGGGACCTCTGCGTGGCAGTCCAGCATGGTAACCGTTCGGCCACGAGGGTAGTAGTACTTGGTTGTTATGTTAGACAGGTGCCTTGAGAAGGTTTTTTTTAGCCGTACCTTCAACAATAATGTAAAAGTCATTGCCAGGCTCTCCTTGACGTACAATGGTTTCCCCGTCATTGAAAGATACGGGTTCCAAAGCGTCTGCGACCGTCAGACGCTCCCACTTTTCCAAGCTTTCTGAAATGTTATAAATCACATGTAAAAAACAATAGTAAAAGGTAATTTCTAATTAAAACAACACAACGCTATATGGGGCAATTTATGCAACATTCATATAGGTAAAAAAATGTTGCTCAATGTATAGTAAGTAAGTAAAATAAAATTTTCTTACCTAATATGGAGACTCGAGAGAGGAACTCATCATACATGCGCCTCTTTCTGATAGTGGAGCCCATAAGAATTCGGCGGTAGGAGTCACGGTCGAGCCCCCAAAGCTTGAGCGTGGTTCGCGCACGTACTGTGGCCGCACGCGGTGTCCCGTAGATGAGCGCAAGTTCACCGAAACTGCCTCCTTCGCCTATCGTCGTCACTGGTTCTCCATTCACTAACACCTTTATGGTTTCATTACTATTAAAAATCCATCATTTGTGGCTTGCTCTTTACAAAAAGCCTACCATCTGGAATGTCTTTAGTAGTCTAAAGGTGGGAAATTAAAAACGGAAATGGTCTTTATCAGCGAGTTGGGAACATAAAAAACACAACACGTTCGTATTTTTCCTAAAATATTTTTTTTAAGTAAAATAACTGAACCTATATTATGTTCACTGTTGGGCAAAGGTGTCCCCAAAAATCCTCCATTGCTCCCTTCCTGTCTTTGACGATGAAATTACTAACTGTGATTATTTTACTTTATGAATACTGTAAATATGAATTTTAAATTTAATAATCACTTGACTCTCAATAATAACGAAGAGTTTGTTGCACTGCACTGAATTCAATCAAATTATAAACTAAACCATGATTGCGGAATTTCTCGTTCATACAGGCTGACTTTTTTATCAGTAGCCAAATTTTTTCTACGCATTAGGTTATCATTCAGACTCCATTTTTGAAAAAAATTGATACGTCAAATTTTCACATATGTTGTTTCAAATATTTGGCTACCTAGTCAATACAACACACTAAGAAGGCGAACGAATGGAAATACACCGTCCATCAATACGAAAACCTTTTCGAACTTCCGGCGGAAGCACGACACGGATGTATGCTAGATAATAATAATGTACCAGACAACCACACTAATTATCTGGTCTCAAGTCTCTCAAATTGGTCCTATCGAGAATGGAATCCGGGATAGTGTTTTTTTACCCCTAAAATTGGACATGTCCCTGTTAACAAAAGAATTAGAGATAGCGTTTCATTTCGAATGAGTAAAACTCCCATGAGTCTCACTACAATAGTTTTGGAGAAAACCTCGACCAAAGTTTATGTCCCGTATTTGGTATTTTTTGAGAATAAAATGTATGACCACAGCAACATTTTAGTACTGGGTGATATTAAAATAAAAACACACGTATATTGTATTTGCATCAACAACCATAATTTTAAAATTTAACTAGTGATAAAAAAATCACCTGTATAAACGTCAGTGAGTGTTGCCCATTTGTTGGGATTCATTTATGTAAAGAATAATATTAACAAAGAGGTTGTGCAATTAAATTATAATTAAACCAAATGAAATCGAAAAAATGTATAATAAGCCTCTGTCATATTTTTATTTTGATATTTTTTTATTAGCTATTAGTCCTGCTCTATTTACCACAATTATTACCTCAACTTCACCAGAGTCTATGATGTAGAAGTTGTCACCTTCATCGCCTTGTCTGATGACGGTTTCTCCAGGAAGACATTGAACTGGGAACATAGCGTCAAACATGTCGGCACGCTCGGATTCGTCCAGATGTGTGAATAATACGTTGGATGCTATTGCTCGCGACAAAGCACCCATGGTTTTGTAGTCTTTTGGCACCACCTGGAAATATACACATGGGCTTTATATGTTTGTTCAAATCAATTAAAATAAAATATTGGATATATATATCCAATAACTCGTCTGAGTGAATAATTAATAAATAAAATCAAATGCTTAACTTCGTTTTATATGATGTGAGGGAATGACTGTCAAAAACGTAACTATTAGAATTTTAAATTTAAATCTTTTCATAGTAGGAACATTTTACATACGTAAGTTGAATTTCGTCATTTTGAAACGTTTACAGTGCTGTTAACTTTCAAAAACTAACAAAATGCATTTACCAAAAATTAAAAATGCGTTCACAAATCGAATGAAGGTAAACGTGTGAGGGAATGATTTTTTATATATAGAATAGCTTTAATTTTGCAATATCATATTTTATTTCATCGAAAATTTAAAATTTAAAGGTTATTTTTGTTAAATGTGTTGATTTAAAGCACAGAACATGTTTGATTATGGAATTTGGGACATAGCGAGGGAATGATTTTGGGGATATTTTTATGTGTATATTTAATAGACTAATCAATATTTTATGTAGACATTAGTAACAATTGAATTATAATTTGATATTAAATATTAATTTTACGGCAAGAATTAAATACCTTTTTTATATAAACCTAAAAAAGGACAAGAATTTCGAGATTTTGTAAGAATTACCAAAAAACTAGACACAGTGTTTATAGGATAAATGCACTTAATTTTTTGTGACAGGGTTGACTCAAGTGGTAAAAAAAAGTAAAAGTTACAACTTCTTAAATTATTATAATCTTCTACTGATACGTGGGGCGCACTATAAGTTTCCGGAATGAATAAGAAAAAAACACTATAAATGGTCAGAAATGAATTTATTGTTTCTCAAAATATTCTCCATTAGCGTAATGCACTTATTCATACGAAGGAACCCATTTTGAAAACATTTATGCCACTCCTCCGTGACAATCTCTGAAACTTATTTTTCATACTCTTCGACAGCCTCTTCAGGTGATGAAAATCGTTGACCGCGTAACTGGTTCTTAATTTTTGCAAATAAATAAAAAACACAAGGTGCCAGGTCGGGACTGTACGAGTGATGGCTCATAAGGTCAACGTTGTTCACCTTCAAAAATTTCATTTGTCTGTCTGGCCATGTGAGAACTGGCATTATCGTGGTGCAAGATGATAGGGCGTTTACGGTTATTTTTACGGAGTTTGTCAATAACTTCCAGCAAACAAATGATCGTGTAACAATCACTATTCACGGTACAACGATTCTCCAAAGCAACAGTAGCCACGAGTTCAGTTTTATTAAAAAAATACGTACACACGCGGCGCACAGCATCGATGTTTTTGTTATTCACAGCAGTGGACGGGCGACCATCACGAAATTCGTCACTGAGATTCACCATCCAGATCCAGCGAGAACACAGCTTTTTCACACCTACATGTTTGTGTAATATTGATTGTACTTGACTCATGCCCATACCTAAAGATGCCCGAATCTCATGGTATGTCACATGCCTGTCTGTTTTGATCATACGGCGCACAGAATCGATGTTTTTGTTGTTCACAGCAGTGGACGGGCGACCATCACGAAATTCTGCAAACCAGTTGTAAATAGTCGTCTTGTGTGGTACTTCATCACCAAAAGCCGTTTGAAGCCGTTTGAAGCCGAGCGAAGCTCCGCTGAACTGTTCATTTATATTTAAAGTCGTAGAAAATCTTACTACGAAAATTTTCACGAATTAAATCCACGGTGATGTAGATAACCAATTTCGACGCCACAATGTAAAAATAAGTGACAGTCAGATGAAACAAACCGTATTCTACAGCCAAAGAGTTCCATTTTCAAATGTTGTAATTACTATTTAAATATTGTTTATGTAAGTGGCCAGTTCCGGAAACTTGTAGTGCGCCCTATGTAAATTGTTTGTATATTTTATATTTCTTTGTTACCTTTTTAACATAACTAGTCGCATCTTCTTCAGTGACAGGCTCTGCGCTAATGGCGCCGCGGCGGCGAGGCGGTTGTCCACCGGGCAACGGCAGCGGCGATAGCTCACCGTCTGCCTCGCCTTCGGACGCAGCCTGCGCCGCCGCCGCCGCTTTTACCTGTTCCTAGATACCAAACACAGAATGAAAAGGCACACTTTCGCTACAGTCAAACTTGGTTTACGCTTTACTATCAAACATAATTTAGTCGAATCACAAGAGTACAGAAAACAAGTAACTTAAAGTGTCGTATTCTAGAACTCTACTCAATGCTCAAGTCAGAACTTGAGTATGATTCAAAGCACTAGAAATCATACTCAAGTCCTTGCCATTAGTGTCGTATTTCCAGTGCTTCAAATCATACTCAAGTCTGCTCAAATCCTGACTTGAGCATTTAGTAGAGTTCTGGAATACGACCCTAAGACTGTTATTAGTGACTTCGACTTTGACCTTTCATCAAAAGGATATTTTTTGTTTTTTTTTGTATCTTTTTATGTAAAAAAGCGTCAAAGGTGTTATTGAACTCCTAAATTAAATTAATACACAAAAATAGTTTGGCACTTATAAGATTTACGCAGGGTGATGCACTCATCTTAGTCAGAGTTTCTCATTTAGTGTTAATTACAGAAAATATACCTAGTGTTCCATATTCCAGAGTTCTCTATTTCAGTTATACTATATATACATAAAGCCAGGTAAAAAGTAGTAATTTATTAAAATCTACTAAACAACATTTGTTCTATTCTTGCAAATATAAACTTTGACTTTGACAAAAAAATTGGATTTAGTCAGGCCGCCACACACTGGGGCCCGTCCATACAAGGTAATGCTCAAAACTCAATTTTCAATATGTGGGTATTTAAAAAAATATATGTATTAGTGTAGTAGTTCATTCATTCATTCATAATCATTCTACAAAATACGTGAGTTATGTCTGATATTAAAATCTATTTCTAAGTGCATTATGTCAGTGACAAAGTAAGGTATGTTGAGTCCCCTAGGATTATTATTATATCGTAACTTCATCGGTATCTGATATACTACTAATAATTTGTAGTAGTGCCTTTCAAGAAGTTAATAGCCAATAAAATATTTTTTCTCGAAAATACGCCGAAGTTCTATTGCATTTATATAGTTTACTAATATACAAAGCTGATGATTCAAAACTACAATATTGCGCAGTTAGAAAAAAAGTATCTTTTTTTTGTAAATTTCACAACAAAAAAACTTGCAATACTACAAATTATTAGCATAAGGTATGAATTAAAGGATGCACTTTACTCCCGCTATGTAAGGTTATACTGACATACTTTTAGACCTTGAGAAGTGAAAAATAATTTTGTGTTGTTACCATTATTACCTAAATTATATAAGTTTATCAACAAGGTTCTTCTTACATAATAACAAAATAAAAATAATTTCTGTAATATAAAACACCCCTTTTTGTTGCAATTTTCAAAGTAACTAGACTATCAATTTTAATAATATGATTGATTGGCATGCAAAATATTCTAAACAGGTATGATATTCAGAAGGCTAGATATATTATAATGTCATAGCACATTTTGTCATTATCTAATCTAAATCTAATCTAGAGTAGAGGTCTCCAAGCTTGTTCGCTGGTAACTAATTTTTCCAACATTGTCGCCGCACTAGACTTCCATCAAATATTAGCATAATGTGCATTACGTATTGGCAAAACTAGCGCAGTGCTAATTAACACATAATCATTTCCTTGATGCGAACGTGATTCGGTCGAAGAAATACTTTGGATTCGGAGCAAACACGTAGAACTTACCCGCTCCAACTTTTGGAAATATTGACGCAGAAATGTAACAGGATTATCTGGCTTATTTAAGCAAAGCTGTACAATACAGTCTTTAAATAGTAATTTAATATTATTACTCTGAAAGTAGCTTTCACATTCGTGCAAACACTGTTCCTCCTCCATGTCCATAACACGTTTCAAATGCGCTGTTAAGTCCGAGAAGAAATATCATAGCATCCAGGATACAGTTTCTTTGATCAAGTTTTGATCGGGAGTTTTATTTAAATATGTAAATTTTATTAAACATTATAATTAAACTTCCCAGATACAGTATTAAACGCGTATCTATACCAAATGTAATGACCTAATTTGACTGACTTGACTTAATAGATGTTTTTTTTCTAGATGTTTATTTGACACATTTTTTTTCACTTTTTTTCCTCTTCTTTCTTGGTTTTTGCGGTTAGCGTTTCAGCCACTTCCAAATTATAAGAACAAGTCTTGTTCTTAAAACGGGGAAACTTATTTTATCATAGTAATGAGATCATAAAGATAGACATATCATAAAGAGCTTAGAGGATGGAGAAAAATAAAGTAAAGCAGCTGCCCTATCTACGAGATAAACGTCCCTACCACAGACTACTTAGTGAACTACGTTCAGACTGCTCACTGTAGTACTTTTTTTTCAGTAGTAAGAATTATTTTTAATCTGTGATACTAATGTCGACTGACATTCCATTTTTTTTTAATAGGTAGACGATGTCTTGCAAAGGAGCAGAACGTATACATCCAAATTTAAAAAAAAAAGGTGGTTAGGGGGTCCAGTTCATTTATATAAAATAATACGATAAAATAAAATAAATAAAACAACTCAATATTTGTTAAGGCGTTTATTTTTTAATTTCTTTTTAAATTGTTCTAATGCTTTGTTTTGCATTGGAGGTAGAATGCGGTTTGCTAACCTGACTATGTCCGTGCCTTTTAAAATTTTATTTATGGTACTGCGCCAATTCATAATTGTAAATCGAACAGTGAAAGCAATAAAACTATTAAGTAGAATAGTTTTATGTTCGGCACAGTTTATGAAATCAAATGAATAATTGGACAAAATATTCGTTGTAATAATATATGCAATATTCGGTTTATTTGCGTTGCGTTCCAAGTATTCATTTGTTTCTCTGATTACTGTACCGAAACACGTCACTGCTCCTTCGGATGGGTATTTCAGTCGGTTTTTATACGTTGTATACTCCCTGTGTCTTATCCAGTCGTAAATACGCGTTTGATTACTTGTTAAATTTTTTAGGCATAAGTCACAGTTTATTTTTAATTTATTTAAAATTTTTCTTACTACCCATCCAGCAGTGTAGGCCCGAGAGTGAACATTGAGACGTTCTCGACGGGCCTGGTCTACAATAGTTTCAACGCTTTCAGTCCTAGGATGATCAGGCTCAATATTTTCTTTTTGTTCTTTGAATAATGATTGTAAATTGAACACTTGGTCCGCCAGATCATCCTCACAATTAAAAGTTTCATTATGGAATTTAATAATCCTAGTTATTAGTAATGATGTAAAGGTGCAGTTAAAGCTGTGGCAGTTTGGGTCATTATTTCTATAATTATAGGCCCTAACTTGACCGAAAAAATTCTCTATTGGATCGGAGTTAAAATATCTAGGCCTCATTATTGTAATCCCTTTACTTTGGAAAAACTGCCACAGCTTCATATAACTTCTTAAAGTTATGACAAAGTTTTTCAATGACGGCACGGACTTTTCGTGTCCTTTCGCATCGACATATTTGGTTTCTTCTGATTTCTTCCAATTTTTTTATTGATTCCCTCCAAAATTCGTGATGAGGTGATTTTTCCGTTACTGCTGTTCTTAATATTTTTCCTTTTCTTTTTGACCGTATTGCAGCTCCATTGACGCTGTCAAACAATTTGTCGAAGAACAAAACAGTGTCTGCAGTGTTTTGTAGTGTTACTGACTGGTCTGCCATCTGCATAGTGAGCTGAAAAATAACCCTTTATTAATATATCTAATGAGTAGTAAATAATTAAAATCAATAGCAACCTCTATCGAAATTCACCAGTAAATTTTTGAGTAAAAACGCGTGTGTTCCTCAACTTGACATCGGCGAAATCATCAATTACTTCAATGGGGCCATAACATTTAAAAGAAGAAGAACCTGGGATTTATTTTTTTACATTTAAGATCATTCATTTATTATCCATGTTCTTTCCAAATAACAAAATTCATACAGGGTACAATATTTAATGAAGATTAATGATTTGGATGTTTGTTAGAAAAACTATGTTACCATTCTCTTCCATTTCTTCTAACAGAAAATTAACATGCATCTTTTTGAAATTAAATTGAGTACAAATTAATAAATAAAGATAGTCTAACAGCTAATATAAGCTAATATATAAATGTAAAAAAAACCATGTTTAGAGCCTGAACTGAACAGTGTAATAAGAATAGACATAGGATTCTACTTACAAAACTTTGCTGTATATGACAATGCTGCAGACACAGTTTTGCTGAATACTTTCACGCAATTTTTTACCTGGAAATAAAAACACAACGCATTTGAACATACTAGTACATATTAGTAAAAAGAGCAGAGTAGAATAGCACTCGTGACTTTCAAATCCAATTCCACACATAACTTCCAAAATACGCTATTGCTGAAATGCGGATTTAGGAAAACCATTCGGACACAATGACCATGGCTTAAGTCGGTCATTTCACTCATACAGTCGCATGTTATGTATATCTGGCTAAATGCTTTCTTATGAATGAAATATAGTTGTTTTTAAAATTTAAAATAAACTCACCTTCATCTTTTTAATCTTTTCTGGAATAACATGTTGATCGTTTAACTTATGTAGGAGTCTAGCTTCTGTGTGGTTGCAGTCTGTTTCATATACATCCACAATATCACGCCATTTGGAGATCTTTCCATTTGCAAGAATATCTTTGTTTAAAAAGTTGTTTCTTAAACCCTTTATCAGATGTGGTGGATCATAAATATTATGAAGATTCACTCCATTTATAATGACTGTGCCATCTAAAAAACACAAAACAAAATAAATTGAGAAATGACCAAAGAATACAAATCAATAATAAAAAAATAAGAAATATTCATAAATATTTTCAAACAAATGATTATAAAAAAGGTACAAAATGTGTATGTGTACACATAATTGGATTACTAATATAAATTAAGTATGTTAGTTATGGTAATTGTTAAAAATGTTAAAATTTGCCCTTAGACTTAAAAAGAAAATGGGATCATAAAGCTTCATTAACAAGCATGCATCTTGAAAAATAGTGTTTACTTCTGTTCCTTGACATCATAGGAAAAGAATGAAAAAGTATACAGACAGCAAAATTAGACTAACCTGGTTCTTGATTTGAAATTAATTGTTCATGTGCTGTATCTTCTTTAAAACCTTTTAAAGTCGAGTGAAACGCCGCACCTTGATCACAAATCATAGCAATCGGCTGCAATCCACATCCAGTCACAGCCGAAACAACATCCCTTAAAATTTCTTTCAATTCTGCGCTTTTGGTAGCTCCTTGACAGAAATAGTATACCACAGGTTGCTGCCATTTGAACACAGCACCTCTTAGCATGAATACTAGAGCGTGGTCTGCATAATCGTTTTTCTTTTCTTTAAGTTCCACCAAGCCATTGATTAAGTCTCTATTTTTATCAAAAGTTAACATATTTTCTAAAGACATCTCATCAAATAGGATCGAACACATCTTCTTTTTATCATCCTAGGTTTCAATCTAAAAACAATGTATTTGCTTAAACTTTGCTGTAGCACATAAGTAATACTAATATGTAGATAAAAATGCATGTTACCAACCTCCTTCTTCATCAATTTGAATACTTGCAGACTGATCCCTGTATGAATATTTAGTTTTGCCACCATTTTATTAAGTGTGTACCTTGAGGGCAATATAAAAATTTTTTTCAAGAATTTATAACATTTTGGGCTCTGCTTCATAATCGATAAACTGATTATTTTTTCTTCGGTTGTGAATCGCCTACCTTTCTTGGTTCTTGTACAAAGATTAATTTGCATTCTCATAAGCTTTTTTGCATAAGGATTCATTTTATTTGTTAATTTTTCAAACGACATTTTCTTATTAAACTGAAGGGCTCTCTTAACTCTTCGATGAAAATCGGCCTGCTGTTTAGACTTTTTGTATTCTTTATAAATACTTTTGCATGTTGGTGACAAATCTTTTACTTTCGTGATTAAACGTCTTCTCATAGGTTTCGGATCCTTAGCAATTCTGACTGTATCCAAGCCTGGAAAACACAAAAGTGAATGATGAAGTCAAGTACTATGGAATGTAAAACATTATAACAATATGCAACTGCACACTTACATATTATGTTGTATGTTACAAGTTTGTTGAATGAGCAGTTGCAAAGAGAAAAACCAAACATTTATTTTCGACTATACATAAGGTTATTAGAAGAATATACTAGGTTACATAATACAAAGAAAATTAATGTCTGAACTGGGAACAAACTCAGGACCTCTGCATATCCAGCATGGAGTAAATAAAGGTTCATTGCAAACATATTCATGTGGTAATAATACAACAATAATAACTCAAAATTACTTACCAGAGGCTTGAAATGCTTCATTCATCACTGGTTCAATGATTACAGGATTAACTGAAAAATAATTAGGTACTGTTGAGAAACAAGATGTTTCCATCATATAAAACAGATAGATGATGTTTATAAAATAGATCACAATAAACATACATAATTAACATCTACAATAAACGAGGTATTGTGGGAGAGATTGTAGCACCATTTGTCCACACTCACTGATGATGGTCTATAAGTACAAGTTGCTTCAGAATTGTGTAAAAAATGAAAAGTTGACACACCGCTAAATCCTTAATTATCCCTTATAACTTGAGTCCAACAAAAAAGTTCCATTACCTAAGTCCTGTTTAGGCGGTGGAATTTGCAATGGGCCAGGCACATTCTGAGACTCACTGGAGCTAGAGGCATTTACTTCTGAAACGTGAGACACGTTACATACTATAATTTTATGCAAGTCTCTCATGTAGGTATTTTGGTATTCTGTGTGTTTATGAGTGAGAGTTAAATAAATGTGATAGGTGATAGTTGAAAATAATAACTTGTTATTTATTCGCAACAAGCATTATGTATACTATATTATCGCATACTATAATATCGTACCAGTAAAGGGGCCAATATGTCAGAATATAAATTTACATGCAATAAATCCATTTCAACAGTTTTACTAGAAAATGTTACAGTAATACAAACTGCATTACTAACCTTTTAGTGGTTCCCTTTGAAAGTATGTGTGGTCAAAGTGTCTTTTACGCGATTAACTATGCTCCAAATCAATATCCATGTTTTCTGTAAGTGCAAAATAAATAAAACAATTAATATTAATAACATTAAAAGTTATTCCTTCGGACTAGGACACATCCGGGTATAAACACTAACACATGCAGGTATAAACAAACAATTCAAAACTCAATACTATTTCTTTAATTTTAAAATTAAGTACGTACTTAAATTGTTATAAGTTATTAACGCTGGATACACCAACGTCGGCAATTGCGAATTTGTTTCTTAGATGACGGTTATAGTTATTAATATTTTATTTCTACAAAGCAACTACGGGCTAAGTTCATATTAAAAGTGTGTTAGGACGTAGAGATTAGAAGGCTATAGTAAAGTCTGTACTTAAAACTTACCGGCATTGTTCTGTGATGGTATTCCAGAGGAAATCTCGTCTTCGGTAAACAAAGATGGATATGCACTGCCTATGAGACGTGATTTCGGCGTAATAAAACTCTTTTCAAAGTGTTTTTGACATACAAAAACGTTTGAAAGTTCTTCTGGTGATAACTTTTCAGATTATCACGATTTAGACACTTTAACCACTTCATGAGTCTTTTCTCAGTGCGAGGAAAATGATGTAAAATAGCGTCCTGTCGTGAACTTTTACATACACAGCACTCGTACATTTTGTATGAAGCAAAATACATAAATACAGAATTAACGGAGAGGATAAGCACGTCACGTCTTCACTCGATCCGAACCTGTACGAACAAGCTACAAGCCACTACAAGGTGACTAACAAAACAATAACAAAGTGTAAAATACCACGATCACTACCCAAGATGGCGGAAACGCTACCTGCGCCTGCAGCAGCCAATCACAGCAAGAAACCAAAAATGACAAATGTCATTATTCATTAAAAAAGATGGCCGCTATTGCGAGCGGTTTTCTATAGGTAGATTACCGGCCGTGG